AAAAAAAAAAAAAAAAAAAAAAAAAAAAAAAAAAAAAAAAAAAAAAAAAAAAAAAAAAAAAAAAAAAAAAAAAAAAACTCAACCCAACCTTTATGGTATGGACGGAATAGTCAAGATTAATCAAGTAGTATACTCAACCCAACCTTTAAGGGCTCTTGGTTCATGGCTAAGATAATATACTCTCTCTATGTGTTGACTAGAGCCTAATCTTAGATTCTTGTATCATGCGTCATAGCATATGGTCAACCTGTTCGCTGTTCTCAGGGCCTTGAGAACATTTTATAATCCTTACTGCACTATTTTGGTAATTTATTGCTTTGAGATCTTAACGTACTTCAAATTCCTCTTATTCTAGAATAACTCTTCATATCCTTATATATAGGTCTCACTTAGAACCTTAAGTCATTTGGAGGCAGCATGTACCTTGAAATAGCTTACGATTGTCTTAAGGGTAGTTTGGTAATTTTACCTTAAAATCTTGGTTTAGCCTTGTAAAGACTCTAAAGACTTTGAAAACTTTCATAACTTCTTATATAATTGAAAATAGACGGGACATAAAGTCTTAAGTTATTTAGAGTTCATTTGGTCTATAAATTAATGTTTAGGCATGTAGGAGCATTTTGGTCATTTTACATTTTATTCTTGATTCAGTTCGTAAGTAAACTCCAATGACTACCAAACTTCTTGAATACCCTTAAAATTCTACTTTAGTCCCTTCTACTAAAATCTCATATCATTTAGATCATAAAACGGGTAGTACTTTACTCTAAGGGCATTTTAGTTATTATTACATCTTAGACTTGGTTCAAGCCCCCGATCCAATGATTCTCAAACTTAACATAATTTTTGTGATATTTGAAGGTCATTTGAGTCATACATCGAAAGTAAGTTGTCTTGGGGCATTTATGGTAATCTTACACCATCTCTTGGTTTAGATACTTAACCTTACCTAATGACCACCAAATTTCATATATAATCTTAACTTACCATAATATCATTAGCATTAAAATTTTGTGGGCAGCGAAGTTCATTTTAATGTTACTTAAACTCTGAGAAAATCAATCGAGGCCTTAACTCAAGGTTCTTGATTTTTTTTTTTTTTTTTTTTATATATCCTTGATTCATACTTAGCATAAGGTTCGTGCTGAAATCCAAATGATTCCTACAACTATTTCTTAGGAAAAGTTTAAGATGACTACTTACCTCGTCGTTGACGTTCGAGGCCTCTATTCTTACGCTTTCGATTTCTGAATCACTCCAAATTTTCATTGATAAATTTTTTAGAGTGTCTAGTTTCTAGAACCATAAAGATTTTCATGAGAGCTAGTAAGGAAGAGGGTTAAAATAGAGAAAAGTTGAGGGAGGGTTGAGTTGTGATTTGACCTGGTCGGTTCAGTTGAATTGACCACATCATTATCTTCTTCCTTTGGAAGGAAGAAGATATACGCGGTCGTTATTGCCGCCGCCTGAAAACACCTCTCTCCAGCTCTTTTTACGGTGTTTCTCCCATCAATTTCTACATGGAACTTAAAGATAGTGTAACAAGGAAGAGTTAGTGATTGATTAAATACCTTCTCGTGGATTGTAGTCTAAGTTATTCACGTCCAAAGTTTATCGGAAAACTGTTTCCTCACTAGAGCTTTTCAAGGTTCAATTTCTTCATAGAATTTCTTTCTTGTTCCCCCTCTAGCTAAAGGAATTATTTTGGAGGAATGTCTTTTAAGTGTGTGGCCTTAATTTTGGTAATTTTTCCTAAGCCTGCAACTCTCTCGAAAAAGCGAAATTACATTTTCTTAGGCAGCTTGATCTAAGACATATTAGCTATCGATTTCTTTATCGAAGTTACTCAACTTAATCCTCAGAAGCCAAAAGAATGCTCAATAATTTAGGTTGTAGGTGGGAATTCAATCCTTACCCCCAAATCATACCCAATATTGAATTTCTTTGATTACTTACGTTCTTGGAATTAATTCTCTTCGTGGTCTTCTACAAAAATGACCCTTGGATGTGTAGAAATCGAATAGGATTGGTCTCACCGGGTGAATTTGCATGCAGCCTCAGATTGAATTTTAAGATTTTCTTCAAACTCCTTGAATAGCAGACATGATTGGGGGAATGGGTTTGAGACGTTTTCATGCTTCCTCTCTTTACCAAACTTGTGGGTAATCTTGTTTAGAAGGTGTGGGGTTAAGTTTGGAGGGAAACAGTGGACTATAGCTCTCGAATTTAGAAGAAACCTGAAATTAGGAAATCCAAAATCTCAACGGCTAAAACTTGCAATTGGAGGCACGACATAACTCGATTCTTGTTCCAAATGAACACCTCAAATTCAGACTTTATAGAGGGAGTTTAAACAGATGTAGAAAATTACTTAAAAATGGGAAGAATGACATTTTTATCATTTATATCATAAATAAGTTGCAAACTCGTAGTTTATAATATCACATGAACTCTTTTGAAATCCTAAAATTCAACATTAATGTCTAATACCTATATGCTCTTATATATTTGGACTTTTAAAGTGTGTTATTCGACCACTATCAATGTTAAAAGTACTTGAACGAGTGTCTCCAACTTTTTCTTCTTCACAAGTAACTATAGGTATTTCTCTTCTTATAAGATAATGAATGAGTCGACGAGTTGTAATCATGGGACATTGAACTTTACTAGATAACAAATTTTTCTCTAAAGAATAGCTCATCTACCTTTTAGTAGTTCAAATGCGATTCTCTTATATTTCTTGTCGAAGAATGCTTCATATTAAAAAATTCAATGGAGTTCTTAGTTGACACCCTTGCATCCAATCAATTTATGGTATTGTTATCCTCCGTACGTAAGGTAGGGGTGTACTGTCCCACGTTGCTTAAAATTGAAAAAGTGGGGGTTAACCTTCACTATAAAAGGGAGATCCCTCACTTCATTTTAGTATCCCACTTAGAATACATTTTTTGACGGCTCAAAGCCGGCATTTTGGCTGATCTAGCTTGGGTATGATACGCTCAGACCCTTTTCTCCATTTTTAGTTGTTCCAAATCGTTTAAGATTAGTATGAATACCTTTTAGCTACTTGAGAATTTGGTGTCAAGTTTAAAGTATTTATGCATAATTAAACTTAACTAGTTTAAATGATTGAATAAGTTTAAAGGATTGAATTCAAATTTATGAGTAAGTTTAAAGGATTGAATTCAAATTCAAGTTTAAAGGATTAATTAGACTCCTTAGTCAGAATTAAATTTAAGAGAGTACCCCTAAGCTATCAAGCGGTTGTAGTAGCTTTGGCCTAGACCAACTAAATAAGTAGTCCTACCGTCATATGGTTATAATTGTGTGCTTTATGATAATATGTGCTCGTGGCTTCACACGTGTCCTATGCCCATATATGCGAACTGTTATTAAATGATATGTATACGTTATGATACATGAATGTTATATTGTATTTGATGAATTGATATATTTATGATATGATATATTAAGTTATGATTTGTTGAAGGTATGTTCGGGATATGTTATGTGACTGTTATGATATATGATATGATATGTGCATAATGTGAATAGTTATGTCTAGAAGCATGAAAATGATATGATATGACATATATATAACATGAATAATATGATATGTTTGACATGCAAAATGAAAAATTGACATGAAATACAACCCCGATACACGCATGGAAGATAT